TCAGAATCCCCTCTCAAACATGGTTTATTGGAAGTCCCTTCTTGGGACTCTAATGATCAGAATCCCCTCTCCAGCATATTGTATGGGAAGCCCCTTCTTGGGACTATAATGATCAGAATCCCCTCTCCAGGGTGTCTATTTTCACTTAACTCATTCGCGCCTGCGCAGAAGGCTCCAAAAACAATAACATTGAACCTGCGAGCGAAGCCCCGCCCACCTAAGTAGGCTCTGCCTCTAATGGCGGAGCTGGAGAGCTATTTTGCATGCGAGCCCCGCCCCTTTCAGAGCCCTCTTCTTTTGGGAGGTTGTGTGAGCGCAGCCCCGCCCTCCTGTCGAGGAGGCCGCGCCCCTTCTGAGAGCCCCTCCAATAGCGGAGCAAGGAAAGGGAGCCCCGCCCCTTTTACTCGGATGAGTGCGTCGTGCGTGCGCGCTCCCGACGCGGCGCCTGCGCAGTGCGGCCGGCCCGCCCATTCCGCCGCTGTTTATTCTTCTGGCTCTTGTTCCCCTCAGAAGCGGCGTCGGTGTCATGGCGGCCGGGCAAGGCACCATGGCGAGCGGCGGGGAAGGCGGCGGAGGAGGAGGAGGAAGCGGAGGCCCAGGGCCGAGCCCTGCCTCCGCCTCGGGACCGGGCCCGCCCCCTGCGCCGCCGCCTCTTCCTCCTCCGCCTCAGGCCTCGGCCTCCGAAGTGGGCCCTCCTCCTTCGTCTTCCTCCTCCTCGTCGTCGTCCTTCTTCTTCGGCCTGGGCTTGCCGGCCCACCTCACGCTCTCCTACCCGACGGGGGGCGCCGCTTCCGCTTCCGCCGCGGCCTCCTCCACCTGCCCGCCTTCCTCCTCCTCCTCCTCCTCGGCGTCGCCTCAGCCCGGCCGCAGCCTGGAGAAAGTCCTCGAGGAAGCCGCCAGCTCGGGCCTGCTCTGCCTCAGCGCCAGGAAGCTCCGCGACTTCCCCGCCAGCGCCTCCGGAGCCGCTTGCGACCTCAGCGACACCGTCCAGGCCGGTGAGGAGGCTTCCCATGCGGGGCAGGTCGGGGCCAGGGTCGCCTTGACAGCCCTCCCGTCATTCCCCGGATGTCATTGCTTCCAAACAAATAAACAATGTGCAGGCTAAGCCAGGTCTGGATGGCTATCTGTCAGGAGGGCTTAGACCGGGTTTGGGCGAACTTGGGCCCTCCAGGTGTTTTGGACTGCAACTCCCACCATTCCTAACAGCCTGAGGGGGAAAAGGAAGGGGCCTGAGGCTGTTAGGAATGGTGGGAGTTGCAGTCCAAAACACCTGGAGGGCCCAAGTTCGCCCAAACCCGGTCTAAGCCCTCCTGACAGATAGCCATCCAGCCCCAGTGCAAAAACCTCCAGAGAAGGAGGCGCCAACAGACTCCTAGGTAGTCTGTACTTCTCTAGAGTTAAAAAGGACCCCAAAGGTCATCCAGTCCAACCCCCTTCAGCCAGGCAGGAAGGCACACTCCAGGTCCTCCAGACAGATGGCCATCTGGCCTCAGTGCAAAAACCTCCAGAGAAGGAGGCTCCACCAGACTCCTAGGTAGTCTGTACTTCTCTAGAATTAAAAAGGGCCCCCAAAGGTCATCCAGTCCAACCCCCTTCAGCCAGGAAGGAAGACACAATTAAAGCCCTCCTGACAGATGGACTTCTTGCCGCTGCTTAGAAACCTCCAGAGAAGGAGACTCCACTGGAAGACACCAGTCCAACCTCCTTCAGCCAAGCAGGAAGGCACTGTCCAAGCTCTCCAGACAGATGGCCATCCATAATAATAATAATAAAACTTTATTTATACCCCGCTTCCATGTCCCCAAGGGACTCGGTGAGGCTTACATGAGGCCAAGTCCACAGTACATCAATAAACAAAGGCAATAACAAAATAATAAATACAAAACAGTTAAAATAAATCCTTGAGAAGTGAGTTCCAGAGTCAGGGGGCCACCACTGAGAAGGCCCTTTCCCTCGTCCCCACCAATCGTGCCTGCGAAGGAGGTGGGAGCGCGAGCAGGGCCTCCCCAGATGATTGAAGATATTGTGTGGGTTCGTACACAGAAATGCGGTCCAAAGGTTAGCCAGGCCAACCCCCTTCAGCCAGTAAGGAAGACACAGTGAAAGCCCTCCCAACAGATGGCCATCCCACCTCTGTTTAGAAACCTCCAGAGAAGGAGGCTCCACTGGAAGAGACTGTCTGGTCCAACTTCTTTCAGCTAGTCAGAAAGACACAGTCGAAGTCCTCCATGACAGATGGCCATGCAGCCTCAGTTCAAAAACATCCAGAGAAGGAGGCTCCACCCCACTCCTAAGTAGTTGGTACTTCACTAGTGTCGGAAGAAACCCCCAAAGGTTAGCCAGGCCAACCCCTTCAGTCAGTAAGGAAGACACAGTGAAAGCTCTCCCGACAGATGGCCATCCCGTCTCTGTTTAGAAACCTCCAGAGAAGGAGGCTCTACTGGAAGAGACCGTCTCTTTCAGCTAGTCAGAAAGACACAATCAAAGCCCTCCATGACATATGGCCATGCAGCCTCAGTTCAAAAACCTCCATAGAAGGAGGCTCCACCCCACTCCTAAGTAATTGGTACTCCACTAGAGTCAGAAGAAACCCCCAAAGGTTGGCCAGGCCAACCCCCTTCAACTAGTAAGGAAGACACAGTGAAATCCCTCCCGACAGATGGCCATCCCACCTCTGGGTTGTTGTAGGTTTTTTTGGGCTATATGGCCATGTTCTAGAGGCATTCTCTCCTGATGTTTCGCCTGCATCTATGGCAAGCATCCTCAGAGGTAGCCATAGATGCTTGCCATAGATGCAGGCGAAACGTCAGGAGAGAATGCCTCTAAAACATGGCCATATAGCCCGAAAAAACCTACAACAACACAGTGATTCTGGCCATGAAAGCCTTCGACAATACATCCCACCTCTGTTTAGAAACCTCCAGAAAAGCAGGCTCCACTGGAAGAGACCGCCTGGTCCAACGTCTTTCAGCTAGTCAGAAAGACACAGTCGAAGCCCTCCATGACAGATGGCCATGCAGCCTCAGTTCAAAAACCTCCAGAGAAAGAGGCTCCACCAGACTCCTAGGTAGTGTGTACTCCACTATATTTAAAAAGGACCCCCAAAAGTCATCTAGTCCAACCCCCTTCAGCCAGGAAGGAAGACACAGTGAAAGCCCTCCCAACATATGGCCATCCCGCCTCTGTTTAGAAACCTCCAGAGAAGGAGGCTCCACTGGAAGAGACCATCCAGTCCAGTGGTTCTCAACCTGTTGGTCCCCAGGTGTTTTGGCCTGCAACTTCCAGAAATCCCAGCCAGTTTACCACCTGTCAGGATTTCTGGGAGTTGAAGGCCAAAACATTTGGGGACCCACAGGTTGAGAACCACTGATCCAGTCCAATCCCCTTCAGCCAGGCAGGAAGACCCAATCAAGGCCCCCCTGGCAGATGGCCATCCAGCCTACAGAAGGATGTCATCCCTACAGAAGTAGAGGACTGGTGCTGTTCACGCGTAGGTCCTGTTTGAACTTTTATAATTTGCATTTCTTGTGGATTGCATTGCAGTCATTCCTGCTAAAGTGGACACGTTTCTAATTAAGAAAATAAAATCTGTTGTCAGTGATCACTGACAGCGGCTTCCAAAGGAAACTGCACAAGAATCAAAAGGAAAAACTTCCAAACCTTGTTTACACAGTAAAGATTATATGAAACACACATGCACATAGAGTGGACTGTGTGCCCCCATTATCCCCAGCATTGAGGTGATGGAGGTGATGGAGGGTATTGGTATTCAATATTTATTTGCACCCCAATTTTATCTCAAGTGCTCGCAACCATTAAAAGCAACAGCACAATGCAAAACCTTCAGAACACACACACACATATATTATATAGTATAGAATTAAACATACCAAATTAAAACCAGTTAAAAGTACTGGAAATACTAAAAGGCACTCTCTTGTCCCACTCTTAACCACTTTGTTCTTTTAAAGGCTATCTTTGAAGTTAACTTAATGCTTGGGAGTCAGGCCAAGCCTTTAGAGGGAGAAGGATATTATTTCCCTCCTAAGTTGGTTCAGAGGAGAACCGCAGCTCCCATTATCCCCAGCATTGAGGTGATGGAGCTTGCTATTGTTAACTGCTTTGAGTCTTCTGTGGAGAGAAAAGGCAGAGTGTAAATAAACATAATACTAATATTACTAGTAATATGTATTTATTTGCATTCTATTTTTATCTCTTTAATTGAACTGCAGAGCAACTCATGGCTGTTCAAAACAACGCAATTTCAAATGTCCAGCATATAAACATTGTAGATCATTGATTTCTGTGTCTCACTCTATCTTAATGTTTATATGCGTTAGCTTTTAATAAAAGCCTCCATTATCCTCTGCCATTCCAAAGGAGAACTGATGGATGCTGCATTAATGTCAGGAAGGGGATGGCTATCTTTGATTGTGGTTTTCCTGCATGGCAGAGGATTTGACTAAATGGCCCATGTGGTCTCTTCTGACTCTGATTGTATGATTCGAAGATAACGCCTGTACTGTCTTGTCCAGAGAAGGTAGCTGGCTAGGAAAAGAGAGAAGTTGCCAAATTAGAATGCTGGTGATGGATGATAAAGGGCTTTATTGGCAACCTTGGATGTGGGTGTGTAAGGTATTGAAAAGGGATCTGGAGTTTTCTTTGGGAAAATAGGCTTTTGTAGAAATACCGGGCTTTGCACCAAATGGCATCTGGGGAAACAAAAGTGAAGCTGCATCGTGTTGAGAAGCCAAGGCCCCTGCAGTGCTAGCTTATTGTCATTTCCTTCACTCCTTTGCTTTTCAGACAAATTGTGCCCAGCGTGTGTTTAAAACAAACAAAAAATCCACTTCTAAAACACCAAGTATTGGGTAAACTGAGCTGGAGCTAAGCTAGGTGGCTGACTTGCTGTGGGAGGAGAAAATTACTTTGTCCCCTTGGTTCCCTCTTATCCATCTTCCTCTACCCCACAAATCCGAAACATTTGGGCTGTGTAGAAGGAGAGCAGCATGTTACACAACTTGTAGTTTTCAGGTGAGGACATAACAATGGGAAGATGGGATGAGTATTGACAAAAGGGGGTGAACGCCATAATAGGGAGGGAAGAGGGGCTTAGTTTCTTGCAGGAGGAGGATTAATCTATGCTGTGTTTCTGAGGATTTGAGAAAAATGCAATTGTTGTGGCACAGGAGGGTGGAAGGGGCTATATTACAGGCTTGTCTGAGTAAGTCAATAGCTCGGTGTCCTTTTGTAGTGGAGGGGAAAACGAAGGTAGTGCCTTAAGAGCCAGGGCTGAGGAATTCAGGATTGTGGGATTGGCGACTGTGCAATTGGTGTGTGCAAGCACCACGTGAAGCCTTGGGAGGTAAGGATAGGTTATGAGGAAGGGAGCGTTTGGAGGGTGAGCACAATGGCACACAATAGCGGTTCTTGGATTGCTTGGCCAGAATGGCAAGATAAGAAAGGGAATGACAGGTAGGTGTGACAGTGGGGGCGGGACATGACACATTTGTCTCCACATGCACACAACGCCTGATGCAGCCAGCGGCTTCCCACAAGCTGCTTCTAAGTGATAGCATGTGTTTTAATGAGAGTATATCAAACGCCGTTTTGCTGTGTAAGGCTTGTCAGTCCAACGGGGTGTAATGCAGATTTTTCTGGTATGCCTTTGAAGCACATGAGAGGGGGAAAGTAAGAGAGACACGTGGAGTTGTTTGTTTGTAAATGCAATGGAATCTGCATTTTTATGGCTTTGTATGGAAACTGTTTAGTAATGCAGTTAGCTCTCTGCAGTAGAACAATGGGATGCACATGCTTCAGAAGGTTTGACTTTTATACAGATTCATAAGGTTATTTTTCAGAGGCCTATACATCTCTTAAATCAACCCTGGTGTCTATCCATTTCTCCAAAACGACAGTTATATTAATGTTGAAACTGAGACGGCTATTTGGGGAGAGATATTAGCATATATTTTTTTCCATTCTGAGTTTAAAA